AAAAGTTGGACCATTGCGGGAAACTTCAAAGAACTTGCGATGTTAGATTCCTTCAAATGTGATGGCAAACATGAGCATGATCAAAGTAGGGGCAAAGCTCTTAAACTTGCTGAGAATTACACTTTCAAGTTGACTGACATGCTCCATGAGTGTTTCCGGGTAGCTGTGGTGGGCCAAACATCCAAAAGGATTTCACCCGCTGTCATTCGTGCCTGTCCTGTTAAAATGGCTGACTCGCGATATGCCACAGCACACCCGGCCAGCCGCGAGGCTGCGCTCGAAGCCACACGTGAGGCAAACAAAGAAGCATGGTTTCTCCTCCACAATCGCATTTTGTTTTCTTTGGCCATGCGAAATGAAGGTGAGACTCAGGCTTCTCAGGACCTTGTGGATGGATTGATGACCGAATGGACACCGGCCTCGGCTCTGAGGTTCTACGGTCGAGAGGATCCGCTTGCAGAATATCTTAGCTTCTGCTTTTTGCCAAAAGAGTCCTCTTCATGTTGCCAGAGATGCCGGTTAACCAAGTAATCTGGATCTTAGTCTCAGACTCGTCATGTGCACTGATCACAGGGCGTAGGAAAACCCTCAAGAAATACGACCTGTCCGAGCATTTTCGACCGCGTAAGCCTGAGTATGTGACTGAGTTCATCCATGAGATGCTTTGGGGCAAAACTTTGCAAAAATTGGTCAAACGTGGGATTGAATTGGCCGCGGACGCCCGCGAGCGCTATCCTGATGCCCGCATCAATCTGCATTTGTCCTGGTTCGGAAATGAATTGGTAGGTGAGGATGGGATTACTCAAAATCCAAATTGGCCATACGACGGTCCCAATGGGCACTGGCCGACGCTTCAGGACGACTGTGAACGCCATTTGACTTGGTTCGTCAAGGAAGCCCAAAAGTTGGATTTGCAATCGGCCGGTCTCACCACCGCGCCCTGGTCCGCTGACTATGGCATTCATCCGATTTTTGATCAGTTTTTCGATGCACTGGAACCCAAGTTCAAAGCCTTGACATGCAGCCCTCTCGGGCTTGCCAATCCCAATTTTCCATGGTTGCGTGCAAAGGGGTACGCCGATGCAATGGAATTCAGAGACCAATGGCATTTCGCCAACTCTGAAGAAATTCGCACACGGCTCTCTGCGTACTGAACGGCAACTTTGTTTGCCATTGACTGTGGATGGCGGGTTGGCCGAATAGGGCTTGAGCTTGCACAATGTGGCCAGGAAACATGGGATGACTTGCGAAGGAACATGAGCGCCGTCCTCGACGAGCTGCCAAGATCTTATCAGGAGACGGTCGCAAGCATCACCAAGTTGATTTTTGGAGAGTCCCGAAGACACATCACTCCGACGGGCAGGTCATTCACCAGGGAAGATGTTGAAGCTCAACAACCTGACACAGAGGATTACATCGATGTCAAAACGATGCCTCCTGGAACCTTTGCTGAGCCTCCCAAGGATGATCCTCCAAAAACGGCCGCCGGCGACGGCGAGCCCGCCACATCCAGCAGAGCATCGATCATGGTCCAAACGGCCGAGGTCTTGTTGAAGTCGCGACCGAAAGCAGCACCTGTCCCTGTAGCTGCGCCTGCAGATGACACAGGAGCCACTTCCAGCCAGTACCAGCCGCAGGCAACTGCGCGCTTAGAGGAACATGCATCTGGTCACGTGAGAGCATATTGGATGGAGGAGCATTTGCCCGAATACCAATATACAATGGTAACCAATGCAGACGGGGACGATGTACCCGGCATCCTTTTTGAAGGTACGGCTTACGAATTGGAACTGCTATCGGCGTCCGACGTCGAGACCATTGCCAGCCAGACTCGCGTCGACAAGAAATTTTCTGATTTTGCAACCCGTGTCAATAAAGTTTGCAGGGGGCATGGATCCTGTGCCAAGGTGCCAATGGACAAAGACCTTTGGATTGACTTGGAGGATTTTGCCAAAGCCTTCCGCAAGGAAGTGCCCCCAGACGTTTTCATCACCGTCTCAAACCTTTTTGGCACCGCAATGAAGATCGACAAGCATGGCAAGAGTAGCTTCCAATTCTTGTGTGCAAAGATTTCCCATTTTCCTGTCGACAATGGCTTAGGCATGCCGTATTATCCTGTGAAAATTCGTGCAATCCAGGGTCATTCCCAAGCTGCCCTGAAGTCCGCCGGGGGTCTTTATGCCAATTCAACCATGGTGTATTGCTCAGACAATGTTGCCCCCGAGCGAAAAGCCGCCTTCACTGGCGTGCCCATTTGTGCCATGACTGAGGTCCCTGATGTTGCATTCCATCGCACGATGAGAAGCAGCTGGAAGAGCATCGCACAGAACGGCCTGATCCCAGGCGGCGGTGACTCAGTCAACAGCGGCCGTGCCCATTCCTACATGTCGGAGCACCGCATAGGCACAGATGGGTATAGATCTGGATTAAGAGCAAAATGTCCAGTCGAAGTCAAAATTGCAATGCGGCAAGCAGTTGAAGCTGGTGTCATCTTTAGTCGCACAGAAATGGATGGTATTTTGTGTTCAGAACGCATTCCACCCCAATTTCTGGTCAGCATCTCAGAGGATGGAAAGGTGCTTTGGTCCCGCGCCGAGAGCAATCTCGAGCCCAGCAATTGGACAGGCGCGGAAGCAACCTCATCACCGAAGTCCAGAAAAGTCCAACTGACTGCACGCGACGATGCCAATGACGACCCAATGGATGACACCAGCACGGGGCGACCCGATGCCAAATCCGCAGATGTTGATGTCACCGATGATCCAATGCAAGTTGACCAGCCGCGAGGGTGCGCCGTGTTTACGTTGCACCAAAGTACTGCGAACCTTTCATGGGCACCTGCCCCCTCTGTCAGGTCGAGTACGTCAGTGGCCAGGTGACATGCACCACATGTGGATATGAGCCACTCCCAGTGGATGAAAGTGGCGAAACAAAAGGGGCTGACCAACCCAATAGGAGGACCCGCATCTTGGAGAAGCGCATGTTAAAAGCTTGCAGGGTTTGGGATGTTCGGCAAAATGAGCGGCACCCTGTTGGCGGCATTGACCAATGAACAAGCCGACCTACTTCGCCGGGAACTGGGCCCAAGGGGGATTACATCCATTGAATCAGCAGTCATCAAAGACTGCCGCGACCGTCACAAACGAGCAAAGGCACTTGGCTATGAAGACGTGGAAGATCGCTATGCAAGTGACGTTACGTTTTGTGACCGCGTTCATGGAGAAGGAAAGGGCTTAAGTGAATGTATTTTCGACGATATGTTTGCGTATGCCAATCTTCCAGATCCGCCCCGCACCAGAGCCCAGATCTCGGCTGGCGTCGCCGCCAATGCCCAAAATGAAAATTGCTTGTCAAAGTTGATTTTCATGTCCCAACCTCGAGGTGTGGAAGGATTCCCCATTGAATTTCGCAAGACATGGAAGAAGACTTGGGGTTTCATGTTCGGTCGCTACATTTTTACAGAAGATGAATATGTCAGCTACATCGGCCGTCGTGGCGCATTTCGTGGCCTGCTGACCTGGAAGGGCACCGTTCAAGTTCCTTGCGATGGCACTCTTGAATTCCTCGAAAAGCTGTATGAGGAAAACCTCCCATTGGTTCGGGGCAACCTTGAACGCAAGGAGAAACAGAGCGCCGCTGCAAAGGCCGGAGGTCCTGGAGGTCAAAAGGCCGACCCCACGGTCGCGCCCACAGCTGAGCGAAAACGCAAAGCCGAAGCTGACACATCTGCCATTGGACAAGAAGCCGCCTCAAGCTCCGCGCAAGCGGACGCCTCATCCGGTTCAAAGCCAACACCATTTCTGACACCAGAGCCACCAACCCCCAAAGGAGGAGCAAGACCATTCTTGGAGCCTGAGACACCGCCCACTGCAAAGGCAGCAAGCACCGTCACACCAAAGGCTACAAGCTCCGGTCGCCCGGATGCCTCCTGGAGTTGGAATCGTGATCACTATGGTGCCCGCCGTGAATGGAGTGGAGTTTCTGGCGTGGGGCATGGCATTACCGTGATGAGGCCGGCGGCCGTTGGATCTATTGGAACCGTTAGGGAGACGATGATTTTCTTTTGTAGCATAGCGCAAGATGCGGCATAGTAATGTGCCTTCCTTGCAACGCTGCGCTGGGTTTTACGGGCTTGAGCTTTTTAGAGGGACCTTTGAAAGACTGCACAAAAGTCTTTGGCTACCCGCGAGGGTATGCTCTTCAGGGTTATTCGTTCTCCGCAGTCGTCCCTGCTCGCCCGAGGGGGGTGTAAAAACTCCTGCAGTAAAACCATGTATTGTATATATCATCGATCTACCCGAAAGCGTTGGTTCAAAACAGTATCAGCCGCTTAACGGTTTGTGTGTAAATTCACCCCCATTGCTGTTGACCTGGTAAAATACATATATATATATACATGTATTATATGTATATGTATATATATATATACAATATTGAACAATTTCTGGAATTATAATTGGAATACAATGGTGTGTGTATATATGTTTATGTATATATATATATAAAAGACGATGACAATCGCTACATAGGTTTGTCCAAAAAAAGATACCCCCAGATTATCATTGGGAAAACTTTTGACATAAAATTCCAATTGTGGGTTATCCTAGTTTCAGGCAGACCCATATGATGACCATTCATATTTATATAGACCGAATCTACATCCCAATCTACATCCCAAGTGAACAGACTTGAATCGTTGAGACCTTCGAATGGTTGGCTTTTCAACTTCCATACCGCTTTGCTGGCATGGTTCATCCAACAGGCTGACGATCACGTGGGTTGGAGCAGCTTCCAGCAACCTGGGATCCTGTTTCCATATAGGGCAAGCCAAGCAAGGTCCCTCAATCCCACACAAAACTAGTGTTTTCAAACATATGTTATCTTTCAAATATATTTTCATATTCCAATAGTTTTCAAATATATGTTAAACTTCATGCCATTCCTGGGATGATCCCAATTTCGGTGAACTCGGCTTTTGCGTTTGAAACGGATGGCGTCAGGCCGTGGCGATGCAGGCTGGCGACTTCACGGGGGCAATCAATGTTTATACCGAGGCCGGCGTCCCCAGGGCGATAGTGTCCCAAAATCAGCATGTGTTGCAATTTGACAAGATATAATATAAATATATATATATATACATAATGTCATACATGTATATGTAATTATATATACATGTATATGTAATTATATATATATATATTTGTATTCATATAATGTAGACATATGAGTATATATGCCTATGCATGATGAAGTGAAGAACTCATCGTGGCTTGTGGATGATGGCTGCAGACGTTCAAAGAAGTTATGGGAAGTGTATGGATGGTTGAACATGTTGTCGAAGTGACGCCTGAAGTCAGATTTCAGCAATCCTTCGAACTCAAACGCTCCTGGATTACTTCGTTGTCATCTTCAATTCTTTACAACTGAGAAAGATACTAGAGATTTGATCCTAGTAGAGGCACCCCCAACGTAGACGGTTGATGCCAAAAACATGAAAGAATATTGAGTTTACTGTTTTTGGGAAATTTTAGGGGAAAACCGGGAAAACCCAAAATCCGCCAAGTTCCTCATCATCCTTCCCTCTAAGATTGCAATTGAATGGATGAACCGATTTTCAGGCAGACCCAAATAACATGTTGTTGTCTCTATAGTTTGATATCCCATTGTGTCCCCATGACTTCCCGGCAATAAACCAAAAAAAATCTATGGCTATATCCCATGATATCCATATGTTGCATGTCAAAAGCTTCATTGTATACACATATTATGGTATGGTCATCAATCCACTTTCAAAGGGATTCATATACCCAGTACGTTTGGGTTCTCATTATGGAATGGATGACCATACCGCATGCATTCCATGTAATTTGACCACTGTTGAAGATTAATCCTCATGATCCCTATTATAATCCCTGTTGTTGACGTTTATATACATATACATATATGATCATTGTCTCCTTATTCCATTAAATACTTAATCATTACACATCTAGCGGCTATCTCTCATGGCTCTTTTAGGCCATGAGAAGCGGTGGATCAAATCCACAGATGCTCTGCACTCGTGGGGCACCTCAGGTCTCCAGAAGGACAGCTGTTAGGAAAATGCTGAGTTCATGGTGATTTCATGGTGATTTAATGGTTATTTAATAATTGTTCATTGGAATTGATGGGGATATTTGATGGGTAGTTTGTTAAATAGCTATCGAAAATCACCATGTTCAACAGGTAAATCTATGTATATCATCTACGAATGGTCCAATTTTTGCTTTCCATTGCTTTGTTGAATTACCAGAAGGTACCATGACATCCACAGATTGAACCAAAAAGGTGCGTTACCCATCAAAAATGGTGATGTTTGGTTAGTCAAAGGATTGGTAGAGAATATCTCAGGACATGATTTTACCCGTAATTATTGCAGGGGGTGCCTTCATAATTTCCCCTTGACCTTGAAACTTTCAACCAATTCTGGGAAATCAAGAACAAATTGTATGTCAACATGGCTAATTTGAGGTCATTGTCTATGTAAACACATCTTATTGGATACCAGCCAAGAAATTGAACACACAGATGTTACATGAGTTTACCAATTATACGTATGTATAGATATTCTATGGGGATGTGGCTTCTAAGCCATGCTGTGGCCTTCGAAGAGCATTCTGCGTTGTTCCCATTCCGTGGTGATCCCAAGATGGCGAGGTTCCGCATTGTTGCTGAAGATGAAGCGACCCTGCGCAGCCATACGGGATTGTGTCTTGGCACCGGCAGCTGTTGGATTTTTGAAGTTCTTTAAGGTCGTTCCTACTTAGAAGGTGATCTCGAGATTCTGAAATTGATTGTTTTCAAAACCCTATCATCAGTGGATTTATTCACATTAAGCCCTACAAGCCTGCGAAGAGCTGGCTTTTGGACTTGCGAATCCGCGCGCTTGAAATTGAAATTGATTGGGATGGCTCAGTCACTTTATGCAGCCTTCATTTTGTTGCCACTGACAGTTGTTGTGTTGCTCTGAGATTTGTCACCGACCTCTTCAGTCTGATGATTGAATCTTTGGGCATAGGACATAGCCACTATGTGAGTTTTCAAGGCTGCAACATCCTGTTTAGGGGGTTCACTCTGATCACTGAAGAATCAAGCAGAAGACGCTACAACAGATAGAAAACGCAAATCGAAAACATAAATCGAAAATTAGGTCCACAATATTCCACAATACTGCCAACAAGGCAAAGGCGTATTTTCTCTATCATTAAACAGTGATATGTTTGTGTTTGTTTCATGAACATGAAGCATGCAGCGAGTTTAGATGGGTAGGGATCAAAATGATCAAAAGTTGTGATTTTCCGTTAGAAACTGCCCTTGTTTCAAGGCACGGCTGCCTTGAAGATCAACAACCACATGGTGAAGGTGGGAAGAATGGGTATTTCTTCATGGTAAACTGTATTTAATTGGTAAATCCAAGTGAAGGTCAACATCTTTTCATGGTGGGTCAACTGATGAAAATTTCAGATTGGATCATCATCGAGGTATGAGAATACCTGGACCTGAAGAATTGATACTTAAATTTTGGCTACGAGATTTGAGGGTTACAACTTCCAGAAAAAAAAAACGCTCGAATCAAGATCTCAACCCATGTGATCCCTTTAAGAGTGACCCTTCTTTATTTTTTGCGCTGGTTATGGACATGTGCGCTCGTTTTGTTTTGTGGATATGTGCGCTCAAATTTGCGTTCAAGAAGCGCTCGATTTTTTAATCTTTGATTGTCCAGCCTGCAAATGTCCAAAAAATGCTCGAATTTGAATTGTCCGCTCGGATCTGGAATTTAGGTACCATATCCGAAAAAGTGTATCAAACAGTGGGGAGGCAGAAATTTAAGTGACAATTGTATATGTGTGATGTTAACTCAATGTTAACTGATAACATGTATACAATTGTATGCTCAATATCTATCCACATGGTCATATACTGGTTTGCACTGGTTTGCATTTGTATAGATAAATAATGATAAATGTGTGGGTGTGTGTATCTATATAATATATATATACGTATATGAGCAGGGATCATCACACACCCCCTCCCAGCCAGATGGTTCCCCGCCCCGTGCGGCCTAGAGGGGGGGTTCCCAACAACAACTGTCCTACATGGGCAGTGTTTCTGCAGCTGTCAATGGTTGATGTCCGGAGTACATGGAGAGTACATAGGGACCCCAGGGAGCTTACAGGGAGTATATACGCATGTAGTATGAGTAGGGTGTAATGAGTGTAATGAGTATATAGGTAGTGGTGAAGCAATGTATATACTACACTGCAGATAGGTATATAATATTAGTTGGGTATTATATTTAAGTAGTGCGTAGGTACATACTGTATGTATTTGTAGGTACATACTGCATCCAAGCATAAAGTATATAAGATTAATAGGTATGCAGAAGTACAGTGCGCTTTGAGTATATAATCTATATAACCTATAAGTAGCAAATATGTAGCATAAAGGCATACAATGAGTAGTAAGCCATGTGTGAGGTACGCTATAGGCAGGACATAAACAGGCTTTGGGTAGTATGTGCTAGATTGATATCTTAGACATATACAGCTAGACTGGGTCCAGTGACGAGGTTGTGTCTCTCGAATGCTGCAAATGGCGTACAAATGAGAGGCTGTCTCCTAAATGCTGTAAATAGCGTACAAAAGGGAGGCGGTGCCTCCCAAATGCTGCAAGTAGCTTGCAAATGGAAGGTTTGGGGGGGTGGAGTAGGGGGGACCATACAATTGGGTGTGGCAATCCAGGGACCGGGCTCATATATATGATTATATATATAATTATATATATATACATTTATGATTATACATTTATGTGATTATATTTATATATAATGCACGTACTTTAATCTCAAACTTTCTAAGTGGGCTAGAGCTTGTGTCTGTGGACAGCCGGAAAGGCCTACCGTTTACGTGGCATGGCGCACCGTTCGGGCCGCAGAGACCGGAAATTGATGCGCATCTGAGGGATGATATGCCCGGATAGGGCAAAACCTAGGTTTTCACTAGTTTTCACCGCCTCTTCAGGGGATGAACATGTGACCCAGGGGACCATGGCCGAAGGGACTCTTTTCACAGAGGTCACAAGCCCAGCATCAAAGCTAGGAAGGTCTTGAGAAAACATATTTATATGGTGCCCAATCCTCAGATCTCGGAGAATCTCGAAGATACTTTAAAGACACCAAGGGACCTGATCCTTGCCATGTAGATAGAAATTGAAGGTCTCCAAGGGTTTGAGAATCATGCCAGGATGAATCCATCCTGGTTCAATCCCTTCTCACCAAGTACATCTTCTCTTTAGGATACTTCAAGTGTCAAGAGTACTTCCTAAAATGCAACAAGTGTAGGAAGGATGTTGGGAATCCAGTTCCATGAAAAACATCAAAAATGCTTGGATTCGGTCCGAAGCGGTTGGGACCCAAAGCCGCTCTACAACAAGGTCGTTTGGGGCATTGGAAGAAGTCCTACAGAGACTTGACCGAGGCCCATTGCATGTCGTAGTGGATATGGTTGGGATTGATTACTTGCAAATGGATGTCATTGGATGAACATACAATTTCCAATGACAACAAGGAAATATTAATGGATCGTTCCACATTTCTTTGAACAATTATACTCCCACCAGGTAAGATCAGATTTATACTGGTTTGAGTTTCATAAGAGATGTGGGAAACTCTCTCCTTTGCTGCTGCAAAGTTTGAAGGAGGGATGGGAGTCCCAGATGGCAATTTTGGAAACCCCAGGTTCCCAATGGCTCCATCAAATGTCATGGTTGCTTTCCTCCTTTTGCCTGGTGTAGCTTTGAGTACGTACATCGTTAGATTCACATACAATGTGCATTGCATAAATGATCATAAATGTATGATTCGGAATACGGGATGATAATTATCTAAAGATATAATAAGATATGTACGGCTTGCAGATAAAGAAACATAAAGAAACAAAGATGATCATGGGAGATTAGCTTCTGGTAATTTTAACATAGCTATGGAGACTGGATGATGATGGACCATTTAGTTCGAGGATTTACCTATTAGAAAAGGTGCTTTTCAACACGCCCGAGGCCCAGCAACTGAAGTTCGACCCCGACACCTCCGAGATGTCGCTTGTTGGAATCCCTGGGGTACCCAAAATGTGGGATACCCATGGATACCCCAAGTTATGACCATTTTTGAACAAGTTAAATATGGTTAAATATGATTGAATATATGTAAACATGACAAAATGAGATTCGTTTCAGAAGTTTAACCATGGGATTCGGTGTTTTTTTCTCAGTTCAGAGTTCAAATCCTAGGGAAATCCTGAACGGCGAGCTGCGATACAAATCGGCAGTGATGCTGCGTGTTGGATGACGAAGGATCCAACGGAAGTAACGTGCCAGGTTGGGTCGCAGATGGATGATCTGGGACCGTTGGTGCATGTTGGTGTCAAGTTCCTCCACAATCCACATGAAATTTGCACATGCTTGATGTCATTTGTTATGGTACAGAGATGTACAGAGCTATTCCGAAGATCTAATGGAGGAACTATGTTTTTTTCGTATTGGGCAAAAAATTGCCATCTTCTTTTCGTCATTAGGCCCGTTAAGATTCGCCCTGCTTAGTGGTTGGGCGCGCCTAGGCACAAGTTGGTGGCCGGCAAGTTGGGTGTGACCCTCACGGGGCCCAAGGGAAACCAGGTGCCGGTGATGGGAAAATCTTGGGATGTGCAGATGTTACCATCCACAAGGAGAACAAAACCGTTAAAGAATTCTCAATGACTGGGCAAAGTACCGACCATGAAGATTAGTTTAATGGGAACTAGCCTATTTGGGTTCTGTGAATGAACAGTATCAAATAATCCAAGTAGTTTGCGACCTTTTACTTCAATTAATCCACATAATATGTGTGAAATTAATCCAATCATATCTAGGAACCCCCAAAAAGATAGGAAAAATCAGTCATCGTCAAAATTAGTAGGTATCTACGTTTCTATTTTTTGGGAGGGAAGATATAACAATACCAACTGGACCAATCTATTTTATAGAGGTATCGGATAATAATCAGGTCATACCATTATAATACCAATAATCAATTCGATAGTCCAATGGTTTAATACAAGATTACTGGATTGCTCCACCATATCATCATTAGCAGTCACCTGTGTATATCTATACTAACACATAATTCAATACCAACAATAAAATTGATAATCCACTGGTTTGATAACCATTAACCATCGATTATCCATTGCTAGTAATCATGATAATGCCATTAATCAATTTGTGGTTTAATGCCAACTGGCACTGTGTTATCGAGTTTATTCTTGGATCAATACCATTGTAATACCATTGCAATACCGTTGTAATCGCATTGTAATATACGTATATATATATATTATATACACATGTAGCAATAATCCATTATATAACCATTAAGAATTCAAAACCCATGAATAATTCGTTTTGAAGAGGTGCAATCATTGGATTGAGCAAAATTACTGTAGCACTCGATGGCGTAGGCTGAGCCCAAGAGAAGCAAAGCCAGGGAGGCGGCGGTGGGTAGTTTTTTGTTGGTAAATTCCATGGGAAACCAAGAAAAAATCGTAGGAACATGTAGTGCAAATCGATGAACGTTGTAGAACATGTAGGAATGTTGGACCAGCGTTAGTCTTAACCTTCATCGACAAAGAGTTGAAAGTGGGGAGATGTGAATCCTTAAAATGAGTTTTTTCTGTTCATGCTTAGGGATGTGGTTTGATCTATACTCAATTAGTCGCTTGGCTCAGCATGAATATGATACGTGCTCAACTCCCACGTGTTGAAATGGGTTGGTTGTTGAAAGCCCGTGTGTTTTTGTTCCAGGCATGTGTGACAAACTCAGACGACCAAGGCATGCGCTAAATCTAAATCTCGTGGTTTATCTTTATTGTCCCACATGTTCCCATCATTTACCCCATATTTTTATATACTGTGGATGGTTGCGAAATCCTGCACCAGTTGGTAACTATTGGGAACATTTGGGAACTATAAAACACTGTAAATAATGGGATTACAATGGGATAAACCGTCTACTAACTGGTGCAGGATTTCCTCCATCCACAGTATGTTTCCCATCAAATTACCCGACTCCACCGGCGCCAGCGGCAGTCCCGCTCGCCTCCCGTGCGGATGTCGGTGCCGGATCCGAGCCTCGATGTTGAAGTCGATGGGCCACCGTGGAAAGGTGCAGATGTGGTTGTTATATGTTGTTATGTTATGTGATTCTCTCCATGATCCACATGATTCATATTGATTTCTCCATGATTCAGCATTTTTAAGTTTGTTCTTGGTAATCTCAGGTTATCCTGGTTTTCTTTTGTGAAAATCCTAAATACTATTGCATTGAATGACTCTGATGATCATTGGGAGCTGAGGGTTGTCATGACATCGTTGTTGTTGTTGTTCCTGTTGTTCCTGTTGTTTTTCGTGATCGTCCCCATTGGGTCCAGTCTGGGGCCTTCCAGCCAGTCGTTTTTGATCGTTTTTGGACCGATGCTTTGTTGCTGGTGATGATGGTCTGCCCTTCCCCCCATTGTGCTGTGGTTGATGGTTTTCCCATGATGAGTCTTGGGACCCCATCTTCTTTGGCTCGAGTTGAGCAACGAACATTGTCCCAAGGGGGACATGCTCCAGTCCAAGAGTCGCCATTTCATAGATGAATGTCCTTTGTGAAAGTGTAAATGTCCAAATGGCCATAATGTGCCATGTTCGATTACTGGTGGATTGCGTACTTACATTCACATGAGTGTTAGCGTATATTCCGTTCTTGCAATGATGTTGGTTGAGCCCTGTTTTGTTGATTTATTATTGATTTATTAATATTATATATATATGTGCATATATATATAATTACATATATACGTACGTATACGTTCAGATATATATATATATACATATACATATATATATATACCATATAAATCCCCTCATATTTGATTGGTTAAGTCACACAGAAGGGTTCCTTTTCTTCACCATGCGCTGCAATCATTCGACCAAGACCACCTAGGATCATTCCAGAGATCCACTTCCCTCCGCCAGTGGTCCGGGCCCTACTGGGCTTTGCTGCTTGCTGATTTGAGGTGTATACCTGTTTTTTCCAGCCTTTTCTACATTATATGTACCTCATAATGTTTGATTTGTTGTACAGTATATTTGTTCCACTTATTCAATCTGATTTGGGCCTTGCATTGTTTCACGAAGCATCCCAATAGGTTTATGACATGACGGTGACATAATGGTGGTTTTTCTGGTACACCAAAAATTAAAACTATGCTTGTTAAGCAGCATTAATTACTTAGGATCCACATCCAGTAGGAGACTCACGTATGTAGGTGGCACAGATGTGGAGCTGATGGCAAAACTGGCCAAACTTGTGGTCCCCTGTGTGCTTGGAACGCGTGGCCATGTCTTTGGCTCTGCTAGTTTTTATATGGGTTGGGTGTGTCTAGAAATTTGAATTTGTTCCCAAATTATTCGAATTTAAATAGGACAACAATGTTCTAAACTCTAAACCATGAGGTTTGGAGGTTTTCCCAAATGTTCAGACAAACCCATGTATCATGCAAATCTATGCGTCAGAGATCCTCGCCAAGTCTGCCGGAAGCCGTGGCTACTTGCCAATTCGAAAGATAGTGATATAGGATTAATATATATATATATTATTAAACTGGATTAAACATCCAAGAACTGGGTTGTTGATGTCCGAAACTGGTTGTTATCTCTTGGTCATCTCGTGTGGTGTGGCATGCGTGCCCCGAGATGGATCGACTCTAAAATTTTGGATTTCAGCGTGTTTCTATTTCAGTTCCATTTCCGTGAAGTGGAAGGATGAACATGTTGTTTCTATGTTCTATATGTTTATATGTCTATATTTCTATGTTTCTATGTTTATTTCAGAATGTTTCTACTAGAAGCAGTAGTTCGTTGTTTTGAACGTGGTACAGTAGTTGTTTTGAATGGTTTTGTTGACGTCTCTGGGATTACGATGATCCCGACATCACAAATGGCGCCATAACGCGCCAGCCAAGGCCGCACCGGAGCAGCCACTGGAGAAGGGCCAGGCAGTGATATTGGTAGGCGAGCAGTGGGGATTGGATGGGGGTGATGGATGAAGCAGATCTGCTGGGTTTTTCTCTGATTTTGCTGAGTGGGTGATGTAAAAATATAAGTTTGTACGACTTTGATTGTTGGTTCCAGCTGCATTTGATTGATTTTCACAAGCATTTGGGATGCTGGTGCAATACCAGAGGTGGATGCGGCAAGATTCGGTTTGTGCAGGTGTCTCAAGACAGAGGGAAATACTGAGAGTTTGGGCAAAGGTGGGCATGTTGAGAATCATACTTGAGAGGCCCCAGTGGCAGTGGCGGGACTGACAGAGAAGTTCTTGAAAAGGATCTCGAGTCAATACAAAATGAAGATAAATGAACTATTGCTTTCGGGGGATGGTCATCAATCCATTTTCATGCGGATTAAAACCCCATTATGTGTAGTTTCCATGATGAGATGGCTGACCATAAACGATTCATCCCACATAACTTGACCATGGCACAGTTATAGTTGGATAGTTATATCCCTATTCATATTCCCATGAAAACCCAATTCTTAGTGGTGAAAATCATATTAGATATCCCATTAACTAACCATTAAATCCCAATTCTTAGTAGTTAAATCCCCATTTTCCTTAAGAAAACCATACCCTCAACCTATGTAGGACATTCATCCGATGCTCCAGGCTTGCAGAAGGCTCCCCAACTGAACGGCCGGCGAGGTGTGATCGAGCGCGAGGACGGGCTGCGTCGGTGCGTGGCAGGACCTCAGGAGGATCGTCCTGATTTTGAGCAATAAAATGGTCAGTTAACCAGCAATAATTAGGGATTTACCAATAATCTTGGTATGGCTCAAAATATCTCATAGTATCTCATTGCTGGCCTCAGGATCCGCGTCCCGCGTCTAAAGGACGATGGGAAGTGGAAATCCGATCCTTGGAGGATTGGTGGCCCATCGCAAAACATAGATTAAAAATCGTGGATTTATGGTGAAGATACTCAATTTATGACAATTTTAATGGGGAAGATTATGGAAAATGAGCTTCTATCCAGTGGTTTTTGGGGGGTACCAAAAATGTTCAGACAAATTCATATCAAAGCAAAGAAGCAACGAGGATATCACATTTGATGTCCTCAACGAAGGCACGATAAAACCAGACATGGTGGGGATGTGGCGAACACGTTTGCAGGGATCTGTTTTGTTCACTTCCCGCAAACTGGGGAGGGAGTGTTGGATGGAATCAAGACTGTTCATGTTGTTCAGCAATGGCAAACGCCCTTTGAGATGCCTGTGACAAGCTACGAAATCGACTAAATCTAATGCAGTGAACCATGCAGAAGATATCAGAAGACAGAAAAAGCAGCCGCCATATAACTGGCTGGGCCCAGGATTGGATCATGGAATGCTGGAGGTGAAGTCAATCAAGAGGGAGAATATCCAGACCCTCAACAAGGCGTGCTGAAGCCCAGAAAGCACCTCTCAATGAAGTGGACTAGCGAAGATGGTGTCGCATGACTACTGGTTCAGGGGTGTATCCCCAGATTCCCCTGGATTCGACAGAGGGAATCATTTGAATCTGGACAGCAATCAGTTTTTTTTCAAGTGGACATGATTAGTGGGACAGATCGAGGCGCAAATCGATGGCAAAGGGAGAACTTATCTTCATCCATCTTCATTTCGGGTGGGACGCATTCTTCAAATTCATACCAAATTATCTGAATTTCTATTCAAAAAAATCAAGTTGGGATATGTCATATACATACAAATATATATATATACATGTATAATCATAGATATATATATATATCAAAAATCATCAGAATATGTCCCATTCAAATTGATAGATTTTCCCAAGCCATGACTTGTTGAGCCCCGGCACACCCGGGACACCCGGGGACCCACCCTGGCAGGTTGATCGCGAGGCGTGCAAGGCCAGGGAGTTCCATTTTACACTTGGGTAATTTGTCACACAGCTATCGAAAATGGCTCATTTATAATAGGTACTGTAAATGGTATCCGATGCTAGTTCCAGCTATGTAATTCGATGGTAAACATACTGTAAAAAAAAACTATGGTTGCTAAATGTGCTCAACCACTTAAGGTAACCTCCTAAGGTCCCTAAGTTACCCTCCAGTGTCATTCAACATGGCTGGAAAACCTCCATTTACTACACGATGTCTTTCAATCCCGGTTCGGGATTGTCCTCTGGGATAAGTCTAGTCTGGCAACATTCTGGGTGGTCGAAATTCTTTGAGCCCCTAAAATGTATGGTTGAGTACGAAAAATTACGAATTTTGCAGGGCCACTGGTATCAGATGTTTGAGCCACATGCGGAGATGGTCACCAGGTCCCAGAAAGGAATGGCTACCCACTATATTGGGATCCCTAATGGTTGGAATCCTGAATGGTTGGATGTCCGACCAGCCAGAAACTATTTTGACAGTGGCACATCTAGCGAACTCTGCCTTCCATTCTCAGGCTGAAAATCCAGGGTGAAAGTCCAACCAGGGCCAACAGTTCACCCCAGCGTTCGCTATCGATAGATCGGTCCAGAGTCTGAGTCACTGAGGCTTGGGCGAAAGCCGAAAAGGCGCATAAGGAAACCAGGCGCGAAGTGCACCGCTGAGGGAATCCTTGGAGAAAATGTGGAGCTGACAAGTCCAGGTGTCGTCATTTCTATGTCTTGAAGTCATGTGACAACTCAAAGCTATTCAAAACTCAAAAACTCAAAGCTCGGTTTGAAGATTGACCTGTAGCCGGAAATGGATGGAAAATCTGATATCACCTCGAAGCTGATCCTGACTTTTTGATACTTTTTGTCAATATCATGGGACGGCACATCCGATACCTGGTGCCACATTCATGTACTCCTAGTCATGCAAAAAGCATCCTGGGCTTGGTACCATGTCACCTTATGTGGAAAGTGGGAGGAACCCAGTGAATCCATCAAATCATATAATATAGTCCAACAATGTCCAACAGTTGTAACAATTAGCAAAATGATCACCCATCAAACGCCTAAACTTACTGTACATCAACTTACATCAAAGACCCTGGGCTTACAACATGACGTAGTGTCGGCAGATGTCGACCGCTGCAGGGAGACACGAGAGCAACAAGAAGTGCCTTGGTCGAGCCGTGAAATCATACCCAAATGGCCCAACTTTTCAACTCGTGAACTCTGAAATCATTCATCCAGATGATTCCAGATCCAGTCCGGAATGTCAGCACCTTTGAGATGCTTGTTGCGTCAATGTCTCCAACAATGGCTACCCTCCAATATAGAAGTAGCAAAATTGATCGACCAAAGGCCCGCCGCCCCCCGGTCTTTGGGGTCTCCTATTTACAGGGTGGTAACAGCTGACTTTTAGAACCTTTTATTCCTTCTGGCTAATGGGTCATGTCCTCAAACGAGTCCAAAAAAAGGGAGAAGTGCAGACGCATCCTGATTCAACCTGGTCAAATCCATTTAATCCCCTTTTCAGATTCAATGGTTTGATATGGCCCTATGGTTTGCTTCCTTTTCAGAAACATCAGAAACATCGCTGCCAGGAGATCCAGAAGTACCGCAATGTGGTTGAGGTCAACGGGGCCCTGGGGTAACGGGATGGATCCTACGGCTATGTCACGATATGTCTTAAAATAGGATACCCATGATACCCGCAAATCTCACTTTTCTTCATCATGTTACCCATGAACAATGCCTTTTATATCCTTTTATTGTGGGCTAGATCCACTCGTTTTGAGCCAAGCCCTTATACTTAATGACCCACAAGGTGGGCCCAAGTTAGACGTTGGTTTATAATCCCCATGAAACTACATGCATACCATGTCAGACAACTGATAAAGTCGTGCCTCGTTTTTGGGAATCACCAGAATTAGCTTGGGAAACGGTTAACGTAAAAGTCGTGCCTCGACCCTAAAACGCAAGCGAACTCTGACTTCAAAATAAGTTGTATTTTTGATCACCAACTTCCGATGACTGGATAGTACCACGTATTTTGATGATTTTTGATGATTTTTGCGGTTTAAAGTGTGAAGCAGGCACGACTTTCGAGCTAGCGTTCCATTGGGAAATATGCAAAAGGAATGACTTAGGCATGACTTCTTGGAAACAGCGTTTAGATGGGCCGAAGGGCTCCCATCAGAGCTAGGCATGACTTAGGCGTGACTTTGTCGTTTACCTGTACCTACCATTAACCATAGATAACCCAGTACCCAACCTTTTTCTTGAACGACCATCGAAACGCGGCCCGGGCACGAGGCCAAGTTGTCGAAACTTTCTCTCACCGAGAAAGCGAAGGCCGCAGGAATGATGGACATCCCCATCCTATCATCATCTTACACCAAGGTTAGTAAAGCAATAGGATCCACCATCCCCAAAATCACCATAGATGAGTGGGATTTCAACCATCTAAAATATACGAACACTATGAACGGGTTTGTATACCCAGCAAATGGCCATTTCAATGAGATATGATGATAGACCATGGGATTTTGGAGGTGTCACATTTTCAGGTAAACCTAAATGGGAGCTAAAAGCAACACAGTGAGCTGCCAAAATCACTTGGTAGTGAGTTAGACAAAAAACTTGTAGCCAAGATGCTGAATGCTCCGGCGCATCCGCGTCGCAGAACCTCCTGCGGACCCTGGGACCAGAGCAATCGCTCAGTGTTTGGGCTCTCAGAATGGTCGGGATGGCAGACCTCACTGATACTCGATATTTCGAAGGGAACACAACTTGGAGACCTTGAAACCCCGGCAAGGTCCGAATTCATAACTTTGGGTGATGTTGAGACCGGACTATGTGAGACTGGACTATGTGATAAATCCCTGGGTTGTTTAGTCATTTGAATCCCTTAATTTCTGGGGTGAATCCCTTACCCACCAGGATCACCAGGGCCAATCCGGCACATGGCAATGGAACATCTCCCCTGTTTTTTTTTTAAGCCTTCTGTGTGTGGATGTGGAATGCCCCAGGTTGAAACAACCCCACATGATATGTTCGTTAATGTTGGTTATATAAGTTATATATATATAATAGTATGATATATTATGTATCCCGTAAGATATCCTCGTTATTCCTCGCTATTGTTGGTTTTACACCCCAATATTACTGCAACATCTACCCATGAGCGGTTCACTGTGTCGGAGCGATCTTCCGGCCGTGGCCGTGGCTCAAGATGCTTGATCTAAACCGTCCGAGGTTTAGGACCTGTTGAAAGCATCGTAAACCATCGCTGCTTCTGGCTTAAACAGACTTGAACCATGATAAACCAATGAGACCATTTGTTGCGCAAGCAACATTAAAAACACACATCATATCACGAAAGCTAGCGTCAGCTAGCTGGAGTCTTCTTGCTTTAGCAAGTATTGGGGGGGCTGCTCAAGGACATATCATTGTTGCATCCTCGTTGGGACGAACAATGCCGCGACACGATGATGACAGTCCCTCCGCAACTCACCTCTTCCCTTCCTTCTTTCTCCTACCCCGCTAGCTTTCGTCATCCACCCCCGGCCTCAAGTCTCAGATTTGGATGGTTTTGGTTGCTTAAAACATCTTAAAACGTGATACCCTTTGGTAAACGAAGAGTTTGCGATGGAAAATCCTCATTTCAACGGCTGAATCGACGAACGAACCATGGGCCATGATTCTGTTCAGGTGCTGGATCGCTGCGAGGGCCCTGCCGTAGGGTCACCGAAGGATGGGTTCATGGTGATCGACAAATGACATATCGACAAGCAAATCACGGAAGAAAATACCCTCTGGTTATGACTAACATAACCATGGTATAGATGGAAGCCATGGCCCATAGAAATAGATGGTTTACCGAAGTTAAAAATGGTGGATCTTTCCATGGCGAACTGTTGAATAACCAGATGGTAACAGAAATGCATATGATATGAAGCAAATAAATGCAATTCATGTGTAAGACATGTATCTGTATATCCTGTCAATATGTGTATATAGATAGATAGATAGATAGATAGATAGATAGATAGATAGATAGATAGATAGAGAGATAGAGAGATAGAGAGAGAGAGAGAGATAGATAGATAGATAGATTAGATAGATTAGATTAGATTAGATTAGATTAGATAGATAGATAGATAGAGAGATAGAGAGATAGAGAGAGAGAGTAGGATAGATAGATAGATTAGATAGATTAGGTAGATTAGATAGATTAAATAGATTAGATAGATTAGATAGATTAGATAGATTAGATAGGTTAGATAGGCTAGATAGGCTAGATAGGCTAGATTAGATAGATTAGATAGATTAGATAGATTAGATAGATTAGATAGATTAGATAGATTAGATAGATTAGATAGATTAGATAGATTAGATAGATTAGAAGATTAGATAGATTAGATAGATTAGATAGATTAGATAGATTAGATAGATTAGATAGATTAGATAGATTAGATAGATTAGATAGATTAGATAGATTAGCTAGATTAGCTAGATTAGCTAGATTAGCTAGATTAGCTAGATTAGCTAGATTAGCTAGATTAGCTAGATTAGCTAGATTAGATAGATTAGATAGATTAGATAGATTAGATAGATTAGATAGATTAGATAGATTAGATAGATTAGATAGATTAGATAGATTAGATAGATTAGATAGA